TATGATTTTTAGAAATTTCTCTGTTTTTCAGCTCTGAAATTATACTAAAACAATTATTCGCCTCAGGTTCGGTGAATATTGTCCAATAATTCGACGATATTCACCTCGCCTTCGGCGAATAATTGTTAAATACAAGAAATAAAATCGGAGCAAATAAACAAAAACAAAAAAGAGAAATAAATCATCAGTACAGCAAACGTGACAAACGCTTAAACTTTGTTCGCAGTTTCACAACCTGGACCTTCACAAGATGGTGAAAGAATGATAACAATTTCAGCTTGAAAGAGGTTAACAAACCATCCATATTCATTACCTTCGCAACTTGCCCCATCTCCTGTAAAACCCTGCTCACAAATACAGCTGTGAGAACCGTTGTTGTTGGTACAAATAGCATTCTCGTCACAGGGATTGGTTTCAGCTGCACATTCATCGATATCTGTTGAGATAAGCCCATAGTTACTGACTGGAGTCAACTTTAGGGAGAGAGCGACTAATTTCAAGTTCGCCAAACACGTTGCAGGCAGCTGCATATTTGCGGTTGGTTGATAAATTGAAACTCGCGTCTGCTGACTAGTTCAGTTTTCTTTTAAGCTGAAAATAAAATAACCCCTCCCAACTAAGAATTTTTTAAATTTTTTATTAATTGACATTATCTTGGTCGTATTTTTTAATAGGATCTGCTACTATATCCTTTCGATTCCCAACCAACTTCAAATCAGACATGTCGAGTCTGCCAATTATGATCCAGCTAAAACTAGTGAATAACAACGACGGCTAACCAAAGAGGCTGGAATATTTTGTCATTTACGTAATTAAGAAAAATTATTTAAAGCCGAGTTCTGATTTTGTTTTGGTAGTACTGTATAAAAAGTCGATATAGTACCTTTACAACTGAAACCATGTCCAGCAAATCCCTGTTCGCACGTACAACCGTAGCACGCTCATCGATATATGATCTATCAAATACTTTTGCTCGCTCGCGATTGGTCTAAACGCGTCATGTGACCGAGTATTCTGCGGCTAAAACTGAGGGATATTCTAGGATATCACCCAAGTGACATTTCCCAATTTTTAAACCTTACATCCACCACGATAAGTCTTCGTTTTAAAATCTAACTCAAGATGAGAGAGCGTCACAGTTTTCCCTGAGTTTTGCTCTCGGAAAATTATTCGCATCTCGGAGCAAATAATGTCCGCGGACAAATATCCGTGCATAGTTTCGCGCCAAATAGAGGCTCATATATTTGTACCAGTGGCAAATACGTCAAGTGTGAGTTTCACAATGATGTCATACCTTTACAACCTGATCCATCTCCAGTGAATCCTTGTTTACAAGTACAGCTATAGGAACCCTCACTATTGGCACAATCAGCGTTTTCGTCGCAAGGACTTGATTCTGTCGAACACTCATCGATATCTGATATGAGAGAAAAAGGGGCCGAGGAAAAGTAAGATGGTGGAACATTCGTAGTACAAAGTATATTCATGAATATAATCTGGTACATTGTTTGAACGTTACGAGTTTCCCAGTAGATCAGAGAGAGAGTATCTGTTTAAGAGCCACTGACCGTAAATATCGAGAATCCGCCAACAATTGCAAAATTTCATAATTCATTTTATTTATTCTAAAGGACCCTTTTAATGAACCTTTTTCGAAAATTATATCAAAAAGTTCTATCGCGCTTTTTTTCTCCGAAAAATAGCGGGCCATGATGGAGAATTGGAGAAATTAAAATACAAGGATAAAGCTTTAAGATGATGTACATTATGATTTGTAAGTATATATGGCAGACCTGTTCATATGGAACCTGATCAATGGAGACCTGTATCTCGGATGTTAAGCAGTGGATGACCACGGACAAACTTATGCTTAATGACGACAAAACTGAATTTATTTTAATAGCATCACGACACCTCCTGAAAAAAGTTGCTGTTAATACTATCAGGGTCGGAGACTGCGATGTAGGCAAAGTGTCTGTGGTACGGAATTTGGGCGCGTGGTTCGATGATCAACTCACTATGGCCGTACACATTACCAAAATATGCAGTGCTGCTTTCTATCACCTACACAATATTAGACGTATAAGGAAACACCTTTCAATGGACTCAGCTGCGACTCTTATTCACTCCTTTAT